CTGAACAGTATACAACAACAACAACAGCATGGTCAAATAAGTTTTGGTAAAGACATACTTTCCTTTGCTCTAGTACTTCGATCAGCTACGACGGGACAAAGCTGGTGCCCAGAATCAGATCTGTTTTGATACCAAAGCTCATTGTCTTCGTTTATGCTGCACCCTGTTCTTTCCACCAGGGTTGCTTGATTTTGACTTTAACTTTAGAATTGTTGGTCTGTTAATTGAAAAGTCAGCAGTTTGAACGCAGCAGCCTCTCCTTGGATGGACAATCACCTCCTGTAAGGATGTACAGGATATACAGCCTTGGAGACCTGCTAAATGGTGGTGGTGGGAGGGGAGGTATCTATGAGTCCTAGTAGACTCCAGGGCAGTACTGTTTGTTTGCACTTTGTCTTTGTCCTCGGTGGTTGCTCTGGTAGCTGCTTTGACATCAGTCCCAGGCTCAGGCAAGCCTGTGCACATGGGATCACACTGCTGTTCAGTCCTGTATCATCCTCATGGCCAACTGTGGATCAGACTGTAGTAATTATGTGATTTTCAGTGGCCAATTTTTGGAAGTAGATTTCTGTTATGTTTCTCCAGGGCTCACCAAGACATTCCAATCCCCTTCTCCCAAAGTCACATAACCTCTGCAAACAGGTTATTATTCCCTCTAGTATCCTCTCTAAAACGGCACATCCTCAAGGCCTGCTGAGAGTTTGTTGTCTTTTCCAGGGGACCATGGTCCTGACCAATCTGACTGCACTACACAGAGACCCCAAAGAGTGGGCCACCCCTGACGCCTTCAATCCAGAGCACTTCCTGGAGAATGGACAGTTTAAGAAAAGGGAGTCCTTTCTGCCATTTTCAATAGGTGAGTTGTAAGAAAGAGAAATGTGAAAGTCCAGAGTTCCTCTATTAGTCCTTTCCTTCTCCTTCCTCCAGCCCCACTTATATTCCTTTACTTTGGTTGGAAACTCTATTCATGACCTTGACCAACATGACTGCATCTTGCTGTGTGATAAAGTACAGAAATGGGGATGAGGAATTGCTTTCAACTGTCCCTTCTCCCATTAGCCCTCCCTTGCCTCTGAGGGAAATTTCAGCATGTTTTTGCTCTTTATCTCACCCTCCAAGTATGGGGAACAGAGAAAAACAGACCTTATCTCTTGCTGTAAAGGAAGCTGGACATCTGCCATCATCATAGAATTGCAAGCTATTGAAGCAGTTCTCCTTATGCAGATAAAGAATTGGATTACAATGAATAGATAAAAAAAGTAATTGCTATTAAGTTGGAGTTGATTCAGAGCTGAGCCTGCATTGGGTTTCTGAGGCTGTAAGTCACATGGGAGAGATTACACTCTCTTCTTGGGAGCTCCTTGTGGATTCGAACCACCAGAGAGATGAGGCCTTGGGGATCGCAGCACAATTCCCATCAGACTGTGCCAGCAGAGCTCCCTGGTCAGTTGGTCTGGAGGGTCAAAGAAAGGGGACTGCTCACCATCACATGAACATCAGGCAATGACTGTAAAAGTCGTGGACTGAACGGAACCTGATTCTAATCCCTGAGAAGGGGTGCTCTGTCATACTGAATTTTCATTACCTTTTATAAATGGAATGATAACATTTATATGCTGTATAAATTGAAAGAGATAAAACAAGTTTCCAATTCAATCAGCCAGTTCTGTAAGGTTTTTTTTTAATTTTATTTTTATTTAATCAATGGCATTGTAAATTGAGTAACACAGGGGATTTGGTTTTGGCTTGGTTTTTTTTTTTGTTTATTCATTTGTTTGTTTGTTTTGCATACTCAAGGCTTTTAGTTAAGTAACATGAATTATTGCAAGTGATTCCCCAGTCTTTAGTTTCATAAATAGTGCACATCTATGATGTGTCAAATCTTCATCCCTAAATATATCATAGTGGTTACCGTAGAAAATGCAAGCCTGCTATCATATAGCAGCTATTCTTGTGAAACTTCAAAAGGTTCAAATTGCTGTCTGCACTATAGACATGAAGAAGATGAGGCTTATCGGGGTTAACTATAGTAACTAAATACATGAAACTTGGACTTTCCGGTACCAGGACTCTTTCTGGGACAGTCTCCAACCAACTACTAAACTCTACCCACCCACTCTGTTGTTGTCATTTTGTGCCCTCAAGTCAGAGCCAAGCCATAGCTGACCCCCTGTGGGGTTTTCAAAGGTAGTAAATTGTATGAGAGGAGACTTCCCATCCTTCTGTGGGGCAACTGCTAGATTCATACTGTGTGCCTTTGGGATTGCACCTCGGCTTCTTACTACTGATGCTCCCAAGCTCTCTAACCCACACTATAGAATGTATAATAGTTTTTTATGCTTATTTTGAATAAAATAACATTAATTTCCTAAACTAGTATTATTTTGTTGATATCACTAAAACTAGGAAAGAAAGGAAAGAACTAGCATGCTGTTTTCTTGTTGTTAGACGCCATCGGGTCATGTATGACTCATAGATACCTTATAAACAACAAGTATGTATGACTCACAAACCCTGTAAACAACAAATATAAACCCTCTCCTATCCTGTGCATCTTTATAATTTCTAACATACTTGGGTGCATTGCTGTAATCACCATGTCTATCCTTTGAAGGTCTTCTTCTCTTTGACCAGCCCTCCACCTGCCTCTAAAAACAACATATCAAAGAATGTGAGACAAAGCTTTTCCATCTTTACCTCCATGGAGGACTTTTTGGTGCGCTCTCTCCACCACATATCTGCTTGCTCTTTTGGCAGTCAATTGGGTGTTTAGTACATTCACTAATAGCATAATTCAAAGGAAATTCTTCTGTTGTCCTTATTCACTGTCCAGCATGCAGACTGAAATGATTGAGAAGACCATGGCCCAGATCAGGTTCACCTTAGTTTTCAAACTAACATTATTCTTGCTCAGTAATTTGGAGAGGTCCCTGACCTGATCTCCTGGACCTTCTGGACCAAGGCTGTTAATAATGGATCCATGTTAAGATTAAATTATTGACAATTTGAGACTTTCCCCCTGCCCCCATCTATCATGATGCTTCCTATTGACCTAGAGGTGAGGAATTTTGTTTATTTGATGTTGAAGTATAATCCATATTGAAGACTGTGTTTCAAGTCCTTCTCATTTTCAGCAAGCAAGGTTGTGTCATCTGCATAACAAAGGTTGTTGATGAGTCTTCCTTTGATCCTGATACTATGCTTTTCTTAACAGAGTCCAGCTTCTTGAATGATTTCTTCAGCATAGAGATTGACTAGATAGGGAGAAAGAATACAGCTCTAGCACACATCTATTTTTCTTTTATTATTATTATTATTAATTTCAATGACATCTACAGAGATTTTGGAACTCCATTCATTCATTGTTGCACTTTTCTCCCCACCCCTCCACCCCCAGTTCGCTCCTCTCCTTGAAAAGCAAAAGAAAAACTCCTTCATTGGTACACAATCCCTCCCCCCCCACAACCCCATCCCCACCCCACCCCAAGTATACTCCACTTTGCAACCCTAATTCCGGACTCTTATGATAATTATAATGCCCTAAAATGTATTAATTTTAACACACACATCTTTTTTCATTCTAGACCACGTAGTGTTCTCGTGTTCTGTTTGGACAATAGTTTGTTGGTCTAGGTCTAGGTTTTATATGATTATGATTAAGTGTTCTGGGTTTCCCATTTTTCTCAATGTTAAGTATAGTTTGTTATGATCTCCACAATCATATGGTTTTGCATAGTGATTTAAGCACAGACATTCTTCTGATATTTTCTGCTTTCAGCCAGGATCCATATGACATCTATAGTGATATTCCTGGTGCCACAGCCTCTTTTAAACTCAGTTTGAACTTCTGGAAGTTCTCTGTCAATGTACTATTCTAGACATTTTTGTATGATATTCAGCAATATTTTACTCGTGTGTGATGTTATATTGTTCAATAATTTCCACATTCTACCAGATCACCTTTCTTGGGAATGGGAACAAATATGGATCTTTTCCAGTCAGTGGGCCAGGTCGCTGTCCTCCAAATTTCCTGGCATAGACTAACGTGTCCAGGGCAGTGCCTGTTAGTTGAAACTTGTCTATTGGTATTAAATCAATTCCTATGGTCTTATTATTTGCCAATGCCTTTAGTACAGCTTGGATTTCTTTCTTATTTACTACTAACTTTTGATCCTATGGAACTTCCTGAAATCTGTAAGTGTTCACCAATTCTGTTGAATACAGTGACTCTGTATTCCCTCCATTTTCTTTTGCTGCTTCCTGGATCATTCAAGATTTTACCAATAGCATCTCCTCAAGGCTTGAGTTTGGTGAAATATTCTTCTAAGTGGTACAGCACTGGTCTGTCCATTTTCTGTACAGAGGTAACTCATGTTTGCTGTGATGCTGAACACTGTGACACTGATGTGTCAAATGTGCTAATGGTTACCTGTGGTGGACAGTGTTTGGTGGAGCTTCCTGATTCAAAGAAACTTGGAAGCAGGAGTGGCATTCCCTTCCAAAATGGCTTCCCTCAGGAAACCCTATGAACTTGGAGAAGCAGTGAAATTATACAAGTGTTCAGGTCTTTCATTCATAGAGTTGCTATGAGTTGTCTATGACTCGACGACATTTAACAACAACAATATTTAAGTTTGAAAAATGCTATGTGAATTCTTTTTATTCTCTAATTCCAGCTCTCTGAACATTCCTTTCTAATACTTTGCTTTGTATTCTTTAGCAGCCCTTTGAAATCTTCTGTTCAGCTCTTCTTTTTCCATTTGTTTTGGCATCTTAATACACTAGTGTAATCTTTACAGTCTCTGCGACATCCATTTTGGTGTATTTTTTTCTTTGTCCTCTGTCTTTGTAATGATCTTTTGCTCTCTTCATGGATAATATCCTTGAAGTCATCTCACAACTCATTTCGTCTTTGATCATTGGTATTCAATGCCTTAAGCCTGTTCATGAGATAGTTTTTTTCATCTTTTTATTATTATTATGAATTTCAATGACATTTACAGAGATTGTGCATTTCTATTCATTCATTGTTGCACTTTTCTCCTCACCCACCCTACCCCCACCCCAAGTTCGCTCTTCTCCTTGAAAAGCAAAAGAAAAACTCCTTCATTGGTACACAATCCCCCGCACGCTCCAACCCCAACCCCGAGTATACTCCACTCTGCAACCCTCATTCCAAACTCTCATGATAATTATAATGCCCTAAAATATATTATTTTTAAATTCAGGTAGGGTAGAACTAAGGTTGTATTTTGGTTCTTATGGACTTTTAAAAATTTTCTGTGGCCTTAATTTGAACTTGCATAGGAGTAATTGATGGTCTGATCCACAGTCAGCAGCTGGCCTGGTTTTGACTGCTAATATTGAGCTTCTCCAATGATTTCTTCCTCAGATACAGTCAGTACAGTTCTTGTGCAGTCCGTCTACTGAGGGCCTAGTGTAAAGTTACTATTTGTGTTCTTTAAAAAAGGTATGATTAAATAATTGAGCATACAAAATTCAATCATCCAATTCCTGGCTTCATTTCTGTAACCAAACCCATACTGTCTAACTATCATCTTTTCTTCATTTTTTCTAACTTTTGTATCCCAGTCACCACTTATCAATAATGCATCTTGATTGCACATTTGGTCAATTTCTGATGGAAAAAATTCTCAATTTCCTCCCCTTTTGCTTTAGCTGTTGGTGCATATATTTGAGTGATAGTTGTATTAACAAGTCTCCCTTGTCTGTATATGGATAGTATCCTGTCATTCACAATATTATTAATTCTATCTTCAGGATAGAACTTGAAATTGTCTTTTTAACTATGAATGCAACACCAGTCTTCCTCAGTTTTTCCATTCCTGGCATAGT